CAGATGGTGTTGGTGGGGCTGAAATGGCAGGTGGCGCTCTCTCCAATCCACTGACACAGCAGCTGAGAGGGGGAGCAGGCTGGGGGGCGTCAAAGAGACAGGAACATCCAGTCGACAGCTCTGGAGACAGGCGGGACATGCTCCTGAGACTACCCTCTGCAATCATTCCCTGCATAAGGAAAGCAGGTGTCCTTATCATATGTGACCATCATCTTTCTAAGGGGGGGAGGGAAACGTTGTGTATTATTGTTTAATAAGCCAGAAATTGTGCTCCTTCTGGAACGTACAGCTTGCTGGTTGATGTGTGGCTTCTAAGCCCACACTCTGGTCTGCGATACGTCAGAGAGCTTCTTCACGGCCACACTGGGTAGCGCCGTGCAACTCAGCGCGTCTTGATGAAGGCTGCCATGACATGGCGCGTAGCCCTTTGCCAGGTTTATTTTGACCAAACACACAGCTGCTGTTCTGCTCATAGCATTGACGGTGGGGCATTTTCCGTCATCTCCATCTTCTGGGTTAATATGTTTAAAGGAACATCCTTGGGCTCAGAGCTCTTCATATGAGGATGGTCTCCGACATGGTGTTGATACTCCTACTGTGCTTCTCAGCGTGGCAAATAAAGATTCACAAATGAATTTAGAAATGTATTACAATAATATCTTGCGCTTGGTATTTATGAACTTGTAAATCACTTGCAAATGTGAAATAATGGGTTAGTAAGCCATTCAGAAATTCGTTAAAATTGAGCATTCCTTAGTTAAGTTCCTTAGTAAATACTTTGTGAGACAGGAATAATCAATACGCATTTAGTAAAAGCTTATTAGTAGCTAAGAAGCAAACCTTTAAAGTATTAGCTGTTTGTTTCATTTAGAAGTGCCTGTACATGTGTATGAGAATGCAAACACATGGCTGTGATTATCCAGAAGAGTAGCAGCATCGTCATCAACAGGAAAGTCAGCTAAACGCGCTGCAGTGTTACTGGAAGCAGATGACAGCCGTGAGTGAGACAGCTGGAGGGCCAGCTCTCAGGCAGGCCTGTCAGGCAGGCCTCTCAGGCAGGCCTGTCAGGCAGGAGAAGCAGGCCGTCCTGATAGCAGATTACGGAAAGCTAGCTGGTCACGTAATTCACGTAAAGGCCGTTGGCGCGCATAAATAAGCAGCTCTGCGAAAGCAGTCCCAACAGCAGGGGACTTTGCCGACGTATAAGGTCATGCAAGAACACCAGAACTAAAATGGCTTAATATGTGTGCTGGTGCTATAACCCAGCATTGGCTTGGGTTACTCCCTGCCTTGCATCCCTTGCTTCCAGGATGGACTCCGGACCCCCAGGACCCTCACAGGACAAACAGGTCTGGAAAATAAATGGATGGATGGATGGATGCTTTACCCAAATAAATGCTATATTGTACATCGAGGAATAGAAACATTATCTGCAAGGATATCAGGGTAAAGACATGACATGAAATATTTTTCTAACCTAGGCATTGTAGTGAATTCTGGTCACTGCATGTATCGGAATACATTTAAGAGAAATAGCTTCCAGAGACATCATCTGATTCCTTACACACGAGGCCATTTTGCAGTACCAGCCAGTGGAGGGCTTATTTTCAAGAAATATGACATGCATTCCTCCATTCTCTTATCTCTGCTGCATTTCTCTTGGCATTAAGTTCCAATTTCATGGATGCCCAAAGATATTGTTTTAATTAAAGCATCATATTTTTGGGTGGCCTGGTTACACTTTTAAATTATGTTTGTCACCATCAGCTGATAGACCTGTAGGACTTCAGTCTACTGTCAAGTCAATGTAAGGATCCTGAGAGGTTTTCCTCATGAGTACAGGAGAATAACATACTGAATGTTCAAAAATTCATGACTCTAATAAGGAGTCATCTGACGGTGGCACCTTCTCGCAGAGCGTGAATCCACAGCTGACCCCCAGTACGCTCCACACCGGGACAGGAGCAGAAATAATCTGTCACAGCTTCCTTAGTCTAGGCCACAGTTATGAATCCTGTGACTGGGATTCTCGACATTCTTTCATTACATTTTTCAGTAGAGGTATAAATAAACAGAGCGGCACAAGGACAGCCGAATCTTTGGGTGATCTTGGAGCACTCAAGGCAAGATGTGAAATGACTGTGCTACATGATCGCTGGCCGTGCCCCTGGAACATTCCAGAACTGCGGGGAGCATGGAGGTGGAGCTCTGGTATACACCTTTGAGGTCTGAGGTCCTCCAGACCCAATCACAATCCATTTGTCTCTGAGTGGTTGGTTAAACCGGCTTGCGCCGGTGAGATGGATGCGTCCATGCAGTGTGTGGCGAACTTCCTGAAACAAGATCAGGGGACGACAGGGGGGCTGACCTGGAACCACCTTCTACCCCGCCCAAGGTCAAGGGGGCACTGGCCATGTTATTATCCTTCGGTGTGGGCCTGCTGGCCAAGCTGGAGGCCACAGTGGGGGGGACATGTCAGTGCAGCATGTATGAGCCTCATAGAAGGAGCCATTGCAGAAAACTGCCCAATTTCCAAGACCCCAGCCTAGGAAGAGGGTGCAGGTGGTGTCCCAGATTGTGTGGGGGGTTCCTCTCCTCTCATCTCTGCTGCCCCTTGTAGGTGATCATAATGTGGTTTTGCGTGGCGTTTTCTAAAACTGGAACGCAGATCCTCCTTTATTTTTGTAACTTATTATTATTTTTGTATTCACAATGTGGGAAAACAGCCTTAGACTTAAGAGGCAGGAATAACGATTCACTAGGTCCAAGTTTATGTTTCATGACTCCAATCAGCTTATGAAAATGTACTTGTGAAATTTGTTAGCGTCAGAGACACAGAAAAGCCTCATAGGACGGATAGCGGCCCGGCGCGTGGCGCCAGCGACGTGTGGATTGGCCGACGTCGCCTCCGGCTGCGGCTCACAGCGACACCCCTGGCTCTAACTGGCCTGTGACGGCCGCTCCGCACTTCGCTGATCCTCAGGCTCTGTTTGAAGAGAAAGCTTTGGGGATAGCAGTGAACCAATTAATCTTTTCTGTAATAGACTTTGGGTCAGTGGATTATTGCTCTGATTGGAAAAGTTCAACCCAAGACATTTAATTAACAATCTGCGTTTCCATTTGTCATTCTTAAAATCATTATTATATACATTTCTTATTAGGTTGTGGGTTATGTGCCTGTCGCATGCCTCTATAGGGCTTTACCTCGGTGTGAGCCGCAGACAGGCTGTGGGGTCCCATCTGCTAATGCGTGCTTCTCCTCAGCACCATGGGGAAGGTCAGACCATGAGGGTCAGCATGTAAATGTCAAGCCGCTCAGCTGCAGAACCTCGAAGCATGTGACTGAAACTCAGCGAAGAGCTGGTCTGACAGGTCATCACAGGCGTGATGCTTCGAGAGCCTGTCCTCAAAATAGCATGTAAAGGCCCACAAACCTCCAGGACCACATGCAGACTGATCCCAGCATCCTTAGTACACGTCATCACCACTAGGGGGCGTATACAGGGGCTCTGGCCCCAGCTGAAAGCTGATAGGGGGTACTTGGAGGTCCAAATAAGGCCGGCCACTCTGTATGAATTATAGCTCCTCTTGTAACCCTCCAACTTAAAAAAAATCCTAATATTGCCCCTGATCTCCGTATTATCCCATAATTAATGAGGTGGAACACTCGAACGCGAGCTCCCCTGACTGCAGCATCATGGCCTCTGTGGCTGGTCCTCTTTGAGGGTTTCCTGGAGGCATCCTTCCAAACACAGGGTCGAGCGAATGTGGGCGGTGCCATAATTTAGCCCAATAAACTGGCCAGTTGGGTCGTGTGGATGCATGCATCCCATATCTGCAGTGGCATCTGTCCTGGCTTCCCGTGGAGGTGTTCAGCTTCCAGCCGTGGGGCCGAAAGGTGTCTGACAGCCTGGCCCGCTTATTAGAGATGCGGTTAAAGCCAGTCAGGTTACTGCTAAGGCAAGATGCTCTTTTTCTGTTTCGGTCATTTTCTTGTTACCACTCAAAACGGACGTTATGGAGATGCTGTTAGCTGGGGCTTCCTTTAATGTTCTGGGTAAAGTCTGCCTGTCATTTCTGTCTCAGACGGAGTGAAGATCTCTCTAAGCACAGCTCTCTGAGAGCAGACTCATCTCACTCCTCTTCCTGGCTCACTGAAGAGGCCGGCCTTAAAAACAGGCTGCGATCATGTGACATCGTGAACACGGGGCCCCTGCTCTTCACCTCAGTGCCACGCCGTGTCCACACCCGGTCACAGAGTCTTTCCACCTGCGATTTCTGAGGTAGTGAAGCAGGTCACAGAGGAGACGTTGTGCTTGATTTACCGCGGCTTGCAGGGACGGCATCGCCAAACAGTGAACTTGACCAACTACTGAGCCTGTTCTTGTCCATCTTGGAAAACAATAACATATCTAATAATATGTCTATTATGTCTAATATTGACATTGGAGGATTAAACACAAATAAACCTCGTATAGCTGTGAGTCATGACTAAATCTGCTCGACGGTGTCAAAATAATTGTACCAGTAACCGCTGATTCTCTCGATTTATTCAAAATCACTTAATGAGTTTCACGTGTCATTTGGCAATAAAAATCATGAAAGAATGGGAACATAAATTCTCTACTCTTAGGAACCATGACCACAGTGTGAAGGTTAGCAGAGAGCTTGTGAGGTTATTGGGGTCACTGGCTAATGGTCCTCACGCGTTTCACCCGCTCAGCGTCGCTACCCAGTGACTGATAACAGCCACAGTTCGGGGAAGGCACGGCGGCACGAGTTTTAATCTCGAGAAGCCGGATCTTCAAGGAGATCGCACCGATCGTTCATGCAGGGTTCCTACAGAAGCCGACCGGGAGCACTCCGGTCCCTCGAATAATGTTGAAACATTACGCTCCTTTGATCATTTATAACCTGAGTCTAAACCTTTGTTGTTCATCATTTTAGCTTTTCTGAGGAAGGTCAGCTAGGAAATTGAAATTGAGTCGACCAAACACACAGTCTGTCCCTTTGGGAACCTGGGTGCCAAAGGTTTGTTGAGGTGACAAGCACGCCCTCTTCAGGTGACCCGGTAGGTAATGTGACCGGTATGCCCCAAACCCAGAGTCATGGAGGGCGGGACAGCTTACGCTTATCCAGTCAGCTGACTCCTCTGGGTCCTGCTCCCTAAAGTCCCCCCTCCCCCTCCAGGTCGAGGACCTTGCCAGCTGATTTCCTGCTGCCTGAGCTCAAGGCGCAAAGAGACTCTTAGGGGCTCATTAGCAGTGAGTCAGGTGCAAGCCTCCTGCATTTTAATTGGCTCCCCAGGACATTGGAGCCAGAGAGTGGCAGACTAAGACCAGGGGAATGTGGGGGATGAGGGGGCAAAGGGGAAGAGGAGGGAATTGCAGAAGTTTCCAGAAAAGGGCAAATGATTTCCAACATTGTATTTCAGCCTATTAGCCACCCCTGCCTATTCATGAGCAGGTAATTAAAATACAGGACAATCCTGTATTGCTGACATTGACTGCATGATAAATTTTATTGGTGGGTGAGCGTCACATGTGGTAACAGAAGGCACTGCACAACCTATCGATATTAGATGGTGGGAGGACTGTGTAGCAGCTGTAGCCAATCAGATGGCAGAGGCGTTGCTTGAGCTGTGAGGATTCTGACTGAAATCGCATCTCCAAAGTTATTCACTTTGTGCACAAAAGAGTCTCTTTTTTTCTTGCCTCTTTACTTTCGTGCTACTTATCTCTGCACAGCACACATATTTCACCATAACTCTGGGTGGTATTTCCATACAGCTGGGCTCCAGCAGCACAGTCACTCACTGGCTTCCTGGCCAGGCAGTAAACAAGAGGCTTCCTGACACATTCTGCGTTCGATAAACATTTAAATGTCAGCTTAGGGACCCAAGTCAGAATTGAATGGAAAGAGAAAGCAATTACTGTTTTTTTTCACCCAGCCGGACACAATGGGATGCTCTAAGGGTATTTTTCAAACTTTTTTTTCTCTCTGACTGTATGATTTTAAATGACAGGAATGAATAGCTTTTCTCCTGGACTTGTGTGTGCCTTGAAAGTGCCGCTTGAATTGCCTGTCCAGCTTCCAGGAGGGACCCCTACTGAACCGGGCGCTCGATATTTCTCCTTATTTACCTTATTTTTTTCCAAACCTGTAATTCACACCCATTTAGAGGGGCTGTATTTAAACTGGGGCAGCTCTGGTTAGGCGAAATTCTCCAGGGTATTATTTTCAGGGAAACTGCAAAGCCCTGGATCTCGACCCAACAACCTTCAGGTCACGCTATCCTCATCCCTGGGTGTAAAACACAGAATAATACTGAATAGAATGCTGAGACCTTTTCCTCTTTTGCCATTTTCCCTCTCAACTGTGAGCCTGCAGTTCTGCCCTCACTCCCCCCCTCCCTTCCATTTTACTCCCTCCCTGTCGCCCTGGACGTGACCCGTTTCGTTTCTGACAAAATGACCATCCGAGCAGAACTCAATAAACGCAGCCCCTCCTGGCTGCCACGCTCTCCGTAAGGTGCCAGCTTCAGCCGTGACAAGCAGGTTAATAATGCCCTCCCAGTGGGTCTCACCTCACCCCCCCCTTGCAATTTAGTGACCCCCCCCTCACCCTCTCACATCAGGACATGCAGTGGGGGTTGTTAAATAAATTATGGCGGGATAGAGGGGGTATGTATTCCAGCCAGCCGACAAGTCGAACGCGAGAAGGTGAAGGTGCTCAGCTGTCACTGACGGATCACTTTGCAGGTATAGTGACACAATCGGCAGCATAACAAGGAGACGGTGAGGAGGGGGACGAAGAACAGTCTGTCAGGGGGCCATTTATGATCATTTATGATGTTTCCTCGCTCACCTTCTTGCCCTCCGTCGGCTCTGTGCCTCCCGGAGTCGCAGTAATCCGAGCGATTGCAGGACAGCGCCGTGTCGGACCTCTGTGAGTCATGCGGGAGTCATGCCTGATGGATGACGATGTCCTGACTTTACCATCCATGCTGGTTTTTTACAGGGCTGTAATGCTGCTGTTTATAATTATCCATCCATTAACTTCCGCTTGCTGTTCATCATTATTTATTTTCAAATTCATTGCAATTCAGTTTATTTTTATATAGCGCCATTCACAGAGCAAACACTCCAAGGTGCTTGACAAGATGGCATGGCCATTCATTATTATGCCACTTATACAGTGGGGCAAAAAAGTATTTGGCAGCCACCGATTGTGCTAGTTGTCCAACTTAAAAAGATGAGAGAGGTCTGTAATTTTCATCATAGGTACACTTCAACTGTGAGAGACAAAAAAAAAATTAAAAATCCAGGAAATCAAACTGTATGATTTTTAAATAATTTATTTGTATAATGGTGCAGAAAATAAGTATTTGGTCACCGCAAGTTCACCGCAATACTTTGTAATGTAATGTTGCTTGGCAATGACAGAGGTCAAATGTTTCCTGTGGGTCTTCACCAGGTTTGCACACACTGTAGCTGGTATTTTGGCCCATTCTTCCATGCAGATCTTCTCTAGAGCTGTGATGTTTTGGGGCTGTCGCTGGGCAACACGGACTTTCAACTCCCTCCACAGATTCTCTATTGGATTGAGGCCTGGAGACTGACTAGCCCACTCCAGAACCTTGAAATGCTTTTTACGTAGCCATTCCTTTGTTGCCCGGGCGGTGTGTTTGGGATCATTGTCATGCTGCAAGATCCAGCCACGTTTCATCTTCAGTGCTCTCACTGATGGAAGGAGGTTTTTGCCCAAAATTTCACGATACATGGCCCCGTTCATTCTTTCCTTAATACGGATCAGTCGTCCTGTCCCCTTTGCTTAAGGCAGCCCCAAAGCATAATGTTTCCACCCCCATGCTTCACAGTGGGTATGGTGATTCTCCCAATCCTCCTCTGGATCATCCAGATGGTCTCTGGCAAACTTTAGACGGCCTGCACATGTGCTGGTTTAAGCAGAGGGACCTTTCGAGCGCTGCAGGATTTTAATCCATGACGACGTAGTGTGTTACTAATAGTAACCTTTGTTACTGTGGTCCCAGCTCTCTTCAGGTCATTGACCAGTTCCCCCCGTGTAGTTCTGGGCTGTTTCCTCACCGTTCTCAAGATCATTTGTACCCCACGAGGTGAGATCTTGCACGGAGCCCCAGGTCGAGGGAGATTGTCAGTGATCTTGTATTTATTCAATTTTCTAATAATTGCTCCAACAGTTGATCTCTTCTCACCAAGCTGCTTGCCTATTGTAGATTGTACACCTGCACAAGACTGGGATTAGCCAATCTTGTCCCTGGTGTCCTTAGACAGCTCTCTGGTCTTGGCCATGGTGGAGGTTGGAGTCTGACTGTTTCAAGGTGTGGACAGGTGTCTTTTAACGAGTTCAAATAGGTGCCATTAAAACAGGTAACAAATGGAGGATAGAAGAGCTTCTTAAAGAAGTAACAGGTCTGTGAGGGCCAGAATTCTTGCTTGTTTGCAGGTGCTAAATACTTATTTTCTGCACCATTATACAAATAAATTCTTTAAAAATCATACAATGTGATTTCCTGGATTTACATTCTGTCTCTCACAGTTGAAGTGTACCTATGAAAATTACAGACCTCTCTCATCTTTATAAGTGGGACAACTTGCACAATCGGTGGCTGCCAAATGCTTTTTTGCCCCACTGTATAGAATGGTGCATAGAATGGGAAAAAAGAGAAGAGGGAAAAAATGAATAAACAAAACTAACAAAGACTTTTTAAAACTGCATTATAATAAAAAAGGCTTGTTTTATTTTACACAGCACACACTCAGAAATGTGTCACCATCACTTTCCTGAAAACACAGATGTGACAGTGGTCTACAAACAGCTGGAGTGTTGACTAGAGCAGCACCCGCCTTCATCTGGAAGCCAGCCAATCAGTGCTTTTCATGAGTGAGAAGTGAAGTGGGATTGGTCCAAAGCCTTACACATCTTGCAAGCGCAGTTCAAATTAGGAATTAGTCTTTCATGTTGTCCCCTTGCTAGCCGCATATCTAAAAACTCTCTCTTCACTGTCACATACCCACATTACATGGTGTGTTCCCCTTCCCTGCTGAAGTCCCCCTCCCCATGGCAAAGAAGGTGTGGTTTTCTCAAGATTTAAAGCTCCCCAGTGCTGTTTAAACAACACCGCACCAAGAAACAGCGACGACATAATGGTGGATTCATCCAACACCCCCCAACCCCCCACAGTGAATCGCAGCTTTTTGTTTGGAGCCGGTTTTGGCCCAAACTGCTGATGGACCCCTCCCTCCCCCCCATGGGAGCCATGTGCACAGTGAATAATTGACATTCACTGACTGCGCTGCTGACACTGAGAAACGTTGTAGGAGAACTAATATGTCTAAGTGCTCTTTAGGTGTCAGGTACGGAGCTCGATTGCTGAATGCTGAACAGGAAGTCCGGCTGAAATGCGGTGTCCTGTTTCCTGTAATGGGAACATTCCGGCGCTAATGAAAAAAGGGGAAAAGGGAACACAGGCCGATAGGTTTGATGAGTTTGTTTTGCTGCGGTGTTGTAGGACATGGATTCTGGAAGGTTTATAAAGACTTTGAGGCCTGGAGGGGGTGCAGGAGATTTGGGTGTGAGAGAGTGAGTTCGCACAAGGTGCTGTGACTGATTCCCCCACTGAGGCCTTCTCTTTGGCTGTCTCCCTGCAGGAGCAATTACCTTTGCATGCACCCTAAACTCAGCAAACACAGGGAGGGTTTGCAGAAGACATCTAGAGAATGTATAAGGAATGCATTATGGGAAGAATGGAGCATTCGGCATTCCTCTGATCAGCATGCCATGGGGTGTGTGGACCAGCGACAGGAACCAAATGAGGTGAACATGAAAGACAGATGCGGTTCTTCTTGCAGTTCCTCACACCAGCCCCCACAACCCTTGCCCCGAGGCACCTGCTGCACAATATTTTTCAACATCTCAAGCTTTAGAGGGAACGTCATGCGGGATTCAGGCAATCTACAAGATGTGAGCGACCGAGACCGAATGATAGAGTTGGAACGTCATGGCACGTATGCGTGAAAAGGCACCCGCTTCCTTCACTAACTCTGCCAGTATCGCTTTAAATTGCCCATAATGGAAGGTCACGTCAAAGGCAATCCCCCGAAGGAGCCCCGTAAACATAACGCACCAGCTACAGTAACTCCTGCAGAGTGAGCAATCGTGAAAGATTTGCCACTTGCTCTTTCATAGATTTAATCACTCAGATTCTGTGGCTCTTGTGAAGAATTTGACTGATTGACCTACTCAAGGAGACAATAATTTATGGGCCAGATAGTGGGTGACCCCCACCCCCCTGATAAATAACATGGGAGTGAAACATGCAGATGGTGTTTAAAACAGAAGGATCCCTGAAGACAAATGAGCCTTCCAATGAGGAAGAATGTCAACAATGCTGTTTTACAGCGTCAATAGAAACCCTCAGAAGATCATGAAACCGGCTGTCGGCTTTATTTCCTAATTGATTAAGTAATGTGTTTTAATCTGAGTGTGTGGTGTTTGGAAGACCTCCATTTCAGGTGTGTTTTGAGTCTGTGTGTGTGGGAGAGGGATAGAGAGAGAGACACCTGCGAAAGACATGATTTCTGCTTGGTTGCCCGCACAGCTGCTTGGATCGTCATTGTTACATGATTTTGTTGATCAGTAGGTACTTCTATTTAAAGCAAACTGCAGTTGTATTTTCCCTCTTTTTCACTTTCAAAACTTTACCTAAATCTCCAAACCAACAAAGGCAAACTACACATCGATACTCTGCTTTAATGGAGACACTGAAGGCCCAGTGATCATCAAATCTTACATTTGCTCTCTCATCCACTGTACCACAGACTCTCCCTAATACATGCTGCACAGACCACACTTATTTCCTTGTTTGTGTACTGTAGGACATCTTGTAGGACATCGCACAATGGCCAGTAAAAAAATTAAGGATGCTTTGTACTGCATTATGAAGGTATCTATAGTGCATTATAGATGAGAGCTTCATAATGCATAATAAACATGGCTATAATGTGTGACCCACTTGCGGCTCAAAGAACAAAAACAGGATATATTAAACTGAACTAAGAAAAACACAAGAAAGGACTAACAAAACAAAGGACTATGAGGGTCAAAAACTAAAGGGGATAAATAAAGACTAAATAACAAAAACTGGGCAGGTAAGCAAAATACACACCACACAAACTTCTCAATACAAATCAATCACACTCATCAAACACAATCAACAAACCACTAGGGAACAGATCAAAAGCAGGGACTTAAATACAGAAACCAAAACTGGGTAACGAGACTAACACAGGACAGGTGAGACTAATTAACAGAGACCAGGAAAACAGGGCACAGGTGAAACTAATAAACTCAAAAGGAACAAAACAGGGAAACTAAGAACTAACCAAGGAAACAGGGAAACATAAACCAACACTAGGGAATTACAAACAGGTAAAGACACAAGCAGGGGCACAAGGAACAAAACCAACTACAAAATCAGACACAACTAGAGAAACTCAAATTAAACACTAGGGATAAAAAATACAAAAACAGAGGTGGTGGGATTCAAACACAGGCCAGAGGATACACAGACAACTGGTTGCTTAACGTGTTGAGCCATGAGACTAACAGAACAGGGGGTAAAAACACAAAGACTAACATAAAGGACGGGATGACCAGCAACACCTGCTGGTCAAACAGGGAAGGGACACAGAGTGAGACAACAGGGGCTGATCCTGACAATCCCAGGAGAATTCTTGTAGTGGTAATCAGAGAAAAGCTTTTTCAACTGAACATTGTCTGCAAAACCCAGTAAATGACTTTGGGTAAAACATTTGTATACAAAATCTCTACAAAGTCCATTGACAAAATCAAAAACAGTGTTTTGCAAGACTGCCTCGGAATTTGGGGAAAAAGGCAATAGGGCATTTAGTTCCCATTTAAGCAAGT